CAATATTCATTGGAGTGCGTTTCTATATTCGTTAGTGCTTGTACATTCGTTGGAGTGTTTCTATATTCGTTGGAGTGTTTCAATATTCATTGGAGTGCTTGTACATTCATTGGAGTGCCTGTGTATTCGTTGGTACTGTTTGTATACGTATAATCGTTGAAGTGTTCAAGGTTGCCCTTTTGGCGTTCCATATTTTCATTGCAAAAATCTAATCGCTACACTGCGTAACCAATGCGTAACCGTACTGTCAAGACGCAATCTAGAAGACTCTACCATTTAACCGGCGATAGCGTGTATCGATTTATGGAAACCATGTTTTTCACAGTTGTTCTTGATCGTTAGTGAATGCACACTCCAGACTTCAGCTTGAGTAGCCGGTAAAAAAAAGATATAGGGCCTATGCAGTGCTTTTTAAAGAGAAAGTCGAGGGGGTGGTCTTTTTTCTCAGTCAAAAATGTGTCTATGCGCTCAGCGGAATTCAAATTCAAGTGTTCTGTCATGTCACATTGCAAACATTTTTTTTATATCGTAGACTGGACCAGGACAGGACACTCACACACTTTACATAACATATATACCTAAACATATACAAATATGTTCAGGTCTACTATAGTCCTTAACACATATGAGGATGTTTGCACCTCGCACTGAAAACAACAGAAAAGTTGGGACGTAGTATTTCGCTCCATCCTATCCTATTGACCTAGGCGCGCCCTCATTTTTGAGAAACGAAAAGTTCTCAAGGCCGAATAGAGAGTGGCGTATCTAGGAACCTTAAAATAGGGGGAGGGTTACTGACAGCAGTGGAGAGGGGGATGACAACAGGGGAAAAGGGAAAATTGACGTGAGGGGAAACTCGCGCAAAATAAAGTAATTTTTCCCTATTTGAGCGTAATGTGTTTACTTCGAACATTTCCAATGGAGGGGAGCACTCACCTCTCCACGCCCTGCACCCCTAGCTAGATACACATACACCACTGCGAATGAACCCTGGGTGAACAACTCAGGGCTGAAATGACCCGACAAATCAATCATTCCCAATGCGTTGCTATGCGGGGACTAGTACACTGGCAAAATCGTTGGGGGCGCTTTACTGGCTTCTGATTGGCTGACTTCCATTGATTGGAGGAACATTCAAAATATTAGTGATTTTCGTGTGTGCTGTAAAATTATCATGAGGTTATGTTACGTTTTTTCATTCCTTTTACATGATTGAAGACATTTCGTTGAGTACGACATCTACCTTGCTTATCGTAAGTTATGTAGAGAAATGCTAACTGAACGTTTTACAACGGCAAAGAAATATTAATTTAAAGAAAGGGCACTGCTGGTGTGGGCGATATCCTAGCTAAGCTAGCCTAGGCCTTGGGCCTGGCCTCTAACTACCTAGGCTAGCCTGGAGAGTGGAGATAGGAAGGCCCTGTCGAACATCTGCAGAGCTAGCTAGGGCCTAGGCGTAGACTAGCCCATACCTAGCTGACCTTCCTAGCAACCCCCTGCAGTGTAGTGACCCAGTGGCATAGGCATTGATATGATTATGACCTGCCTACTAAAAAGCTAGCTGCTAGTATAGGCCTAGCCTAGGCTAGTTAGGCCTAGGCCTAGTAGTAGGATACAGCAGTAGTAGTAGGTAGGATATGACTTCAGGCTGAATTCAGGCTTGCCGAATTCGAGTCAACTCGGCCCCAAGTCAACTCGCCACCAAGTAAAGTCGGCCCCAAGTTAACTCTGCCCCAAGTCAACTTCAACTAGGCCCCCATTTAAGTGTATTTACTAAAAAAATGTCAAAACTAAATTGTTTTATGTTGTTTGTTTTTCTTTTCATTTACACCCGCTTAAACACTTAACAATAATGAAAAATACATTTATAAAAATAATATTAAAATAATATTAATGATTATAACAATATAAAAAGGTTAACAGAACTAATGACACGATATGATGACAATAACGATATAATCATATATATATATATATTTTATGTATATATATTTGAATATTTATAGACATATATATTTATATATATATATATATTATATATATATATATATAAATATATATACTGTAGACATATTAAATATACTTTTTATATATATATTTAAATATATAGCATATATGTATATCAATTTAATGATAATAAATAATAAAAAAAAACGAATAGCATATCTATGGACAAATATCTAATATACATTTTTAATATACATTATATGAATATGTACATTACATATATGTATATAATTTTAATATATCTATATTCATGTACATGTAATATAAATCATTATATAATAGGTAAAATCTAAACCATCTTTACAGTATATATAAAAATAAGAAAAGAATACCATATAAAAATCATATGGACTTTAGAAACACTTTATTGTAGTAGTATTTAAGTATTTCCGTATATATATTTAAAAATGCCTAGTGTATGTATATATATATATATATATATATATATATATATATATAAGATGTGTTGACTTGGGGCCGAGTTGACATGGGGCCGAGTTGACATGGGGCCGAGTTGACATGGGGCCGAGTTGACTTGGGGCCGAGTTGACATGATGCCGAGTTGACATGATGCCGAGTTGACTGGGGCTGAGTTAACCTGCTTCCGTTAGGCCTGCCTAGGGCCGGCCTAGATCAGTGAGCTGCCTATATTTCAAGTAGAACTAGAAGCGAAATTATAAAAAAGCAACAAAAAGAAGAGCATAGGCCTATTATGTTTCAATTTATGTACCATAATCGAAATCATAAAATCATGTTTCTCTTTTGTAATTAAAGTCATAAGAATATATCAACCAACTAGAATATAGCAACCAACTAGAAAATATCCTAATAATAATATTGATTGAATTTTTGTTTTAGTATTTCATTTTATTTGCTTTTAAATATGATGTTATAATAATGGAAGGATAACAAACAATAAAATAAAAAAAAATGTATTATAAACCGTTCTCCTGTAGGCTAGAAGGCCTAGACTCCTAGAGGTCTACTGTAGCCCTGTTAGAATAACAAAAAATGCTGAGTCCCATTATTATTATAACTTTTGAATGCTTTTTTTCTTGTTGGCACTAGTACCTCTAGGGGCCTAGAATTATTACTAGGGCCAGGCCTATTGATGCACTTCAGTTCCATCTTAAATCTCCTAATCTTGAATAATTTTTTTTAAACAATAATATATAGGCCCTAGTAGTAGGCTAAATAATAATACCACTGCCATTTTTGTAAATTTTTTTTAGGTGACATTACAATGCCTGAATCGAAAGATATACCCGTGCGTGTGGCTCTGCGTTCACGTCCTCTTGTGCCGAAGGAGACGGACGATGGATGTCAGGAGTGCCTAAGGTTTATTAGCACCCACCAACAAGTTGTTCTGGGCAACAACAAAGCATTTACTTACGACTTTGTCTTTAGTAAAGATACAGAACAGGAGGTGGTTTATACCAAGGCTGTTAAACCACTTGTCGATGGTATTTTCAAAGGTAATGAGTTGCTACCTTGCCATAACTATTCCTTTTTTATTTTACTACCTTAAAACTTCTAATTGAGATCCAGTACTCCATTTGCGACCACAAAGCGAATCTACCGCTCTTATTTTAACCCAGTTTGGTTAATATTATAATGCTAAAGCTTCGTATTAGTGATACTTAAATCAAAATGTTTGTCTAATTTAAAATGGAGAATGCCTACCATATGTGATTTTTTTTTTAGTTTATGATTTGAAGAAAGTAGTTAAACCATATTTTGTTTGTACAGTTGATTGTGTGTGAATTGCCAACACATGAAGCTTAGTAATAGTACTAATGCATTACTTTATTAGTAACCATAATTGAAACCCACCTTAAAACCAAACAGAAAAAGCGATTAGTGACCTAACCTCTGTTTTTATTTGCATTCCTTGGTTTATGAAAAAAAATGCAGTCCTTTTATGTATTTGAAATCAAATTAACTAAAATGAAAACGTAAATGTAAGTATCATATAGAGTTTGCCAGAGCTGTAAAAGGCATAGATTTATCATTGCTTATGATGTTTCCTTCTAGGCTATAATGCAACAGTTTTGGCATATGGACAAACAGGCTCAGGAAAGACATATTCCATGGGTAGTGGCTACTCGGCATCACAGGCACCAAATGATCCATCCAGGGGTGTCATACCAAGAGTGATAACTAGTCTATTTGATGGTGTTCGGGACCATAATGATATGAAATATATGCTTAGAGTATCTTATTTAGAGGTGAGTGTGTGTCTTTGATATGCCCATATTTGTTCATGATGATGTCATATTTTACACCCTATATAGTCTATTCGATGGTGTTTGAGAGCATATGAATTACATGCTTATACCCTATTCAGACTACACTCTCTTGCGATCGGTTGCGATGTAATCGGTGGTAATCGAAAACTGATTACTCCCGATCGCAATCAACGAACGCATTCAGACCAAAACAAACAAACTTTACATTCTAGGGCTTAGGCCTCCGGTGGCTAGGCCTATGTTGCCTGATTGGGTAAGCACCCAATCGCAACGGGTAACAATTGTGATATCGATTACATATTGACTACTATTGGTGAGCTTTCACACACAATTTTACTGTGCGATTGGGTGTCGCAATTGCTACAACCGATCGCAATGTGATGCTAGTCTGAATGGGGTATTAGAGTATCATATTTAGAGGTAAGTGTGTGTCAAAATATTCATTAAAGTTAAACTTTTAATTAACAAATTTCTGACATGCCCATATATGGACATGATGATGTCATATCACACCCATATTTGGGCATAATGATGTCATCTATGGGCAAAATATTAAGTCCTTGCATCATGGTTAATTCCAGATTTATAATGAAGATATCCATGATCTTCTGAATCCCAACATCAAAAAAGAAAACATTGCTATCAGAGAGAGTATAGAGGGCGGTATTCGAATAGCTGGCCTGAGAGAAGTGACTGTGCAAAGTGCTGAAGATATGTATAGATGCTTAGAACAAGGATCTGTTGGCAGGACAACGGCTTCGACGGCAATGAATTCTACATCAAGTCGTTCTCACGCCATATTTACCATTCACATTGACCAGAAGGCAAAGGATGAAAGGTGGGTAAAATTTCATCCACCTCATGCTCAACAAATGTTGTTAAGTGCAGGTCTGGAAAAGTGCCGGAATGTCTGCACAACATTCAGTTTTCAATTCTATTTCAATTTTGCAAAGTCACATTCATATTTACATGTGATTACAATAGAAAAATTAACGTATGTCTGTAACAAAATATGAAAATGAGATGTAGGGAATTAAATTGCAAGCAATGCTTTTAAACATGTAACCCTTTCAAATAATGAGATAATTAATTCTAAACACTAAAAAAAAACTTAATCTAATCAAGAAAACTCTAGAGGTAAAACTATCCTCCGCTGGACACCATCCTGGTATTTCTGAGTAACATTTCAGACTATTGTCTGTCTATGTTAGTGTAGGCTACAGATAACATTTCATGGTGGAGGTTATTATAAAAATAATAATTTTCATGGTTGGAAGCACGATTAAGTTCTCCAGGCCTATTGAATGAGTGTTACACCCATTTGGTCTGACACTTTTTCTATTGGGGCTTATATGAGAGACAATTCTATGAAGACAATTGTGGTAATCACGATTATTGATAAACTCTGATTACATATATCAAACTTGTAATTTTCTTGATTCAGTGATAGCGGCTGGCATGCTAAATTTCACCTTGTTGATCTGGCTGGGTCAGAAAGAGTAAAGAAGACCCACGCGGAAGGAGATCGTTTTCGAGAAGGTTTGTTATTTTTATGTGTATGTACCATTTCCCCTTCTTTAAAAAAAATGTAATCAATAGTTCAGCTTAGCTCAGTCGGCTAATCTGGTGGTAGCCATTGTGTGTGTGCGCTGAACCGTGGAGATCTTTATGTTCCCTGTTCAATTCCAATCGCTGCCTCTCCTTGTGTTTCAGCTGGAGGGCTGAAATACAAGTTACAATAGCTCACCATCTTTTTGATGAGACTTTTTAATATAAACTTTATTGATTCCACTACCTATGGTACAATACCGAAACCAAGAAGGCAATGCCTGTAAGCATGTCCGGTGCTAAATTATATATTAATGCCTTAAATAAACATCAGACGGATACAAACATGTTCCTTAACTCGTCTAATTCTCCTCAGGGTTATTCGAGGAGCTGAGCGTTTTTTGTTATTATAAAAGACCCGAATTCAATACTTGACACCGAGCCGGGTATCGAACCCGGGCCCTGGCATGCAAGAGGCAGGAACCATACCAATTAGCCAAAGGCTCAGCTCAAAGACGTTCAGAGACGTTTAAGTTGTTGGTCCCGTGTGCATTTATGGCCTATGTGCATGTTAAAGAACGCAGTACACTCTTTTGAAAAGAGTAGGGATTGTCTCCCGGTTAACTGCCCAATCACCACCAGAAGGACCCCACTGGAAATAAGTCTTCTTCCAGACTTCCATGGGCTAATGGGCTATCCTTAGTGTTTAAACCAAATAAATCTAATCCAATCCAGTCCATATTATAGTGTGTTTTCCCCATGAATTTTGTTTTAGGTGTGAACATCAATCGAGGGTTGTTGGCATTAGGAAATGTGATTAGCGCCCTCGGAGATGAAAGTGGACGCAAGGCTCATGTCCCATACCGAGACGCAAAGCTCACAAGACTTTTACAGGGTAAGAATTATTTATTTTGTCTCTTTCTAAATTACAGTAAACTTGTAAAAACATTTTTTAATTTGCATTTAAGTTATAAGAATTTTATAGTTGTTTTCGAAAACACTAATTGTGTTTTATTAATTCAGCTTTAATTTTTTGTTTTGCTGTCAATCTTTTTCTGTGTTTAGAATAACAAACTTTAAAGCCAAAAGTTAATTTAAAGGTGGTCATTCCTTCTCACTTTTTATTTGTTGGAGGATTTTTTTCTTGGCAAAATAAAGCATGAATGAATGGTTGTGTTTCTATTAAAATTTCTTTACATGAACGCGGGTCTAGTGGCCGAGCCGCCAGGCAGGGGTGCCGCAAACTACGACAGGATCTTGGCACTGGCTTGGGATGCTCCTTGCTCAGGGTCTGGGTGGTAAAAGCAAAGTCATCTTAGATGAGGACTTGCAACTGGTCTAGGTCCAGTGTACACCTCTGGCTCATATGCAGATTAAAGAACCCATTTCATCTTTCTGAAGAGTGAAGTGGAATACCCTGATGAACATAAGTGTGACTGATCACATCTGAAAGAAGATGTTCAAGATTGAATCTAAAAAAACCGTTTCATTTTTTAAATTCCAGATTCGCTAGGTGGTAACAGCCAGACACTAATGATAGCATGTGTGAGTCCAGCGGACTCCAACATGGAGGAGACGCTGAACACGCTACGATATGCAGACAGAGCTCGTAGGATTAAAAACAAACCGATAGTCAATCGAGACCCGAAGGAGGCGGAGATTGCTCGTCTTCGACAGCAGGTCCAACAGCTGCAGATTCAACTGGTTCAGTACAGTGGTGGCGCTCTACCATCTGATTTAAAAAACATGGAGGGTACAGCTGATATGAGCATACTGTTAGAGCGTAATAAAGTCTTGGAAGTATGTAACTTGTTTAAATTGAGATAGACAACTAATCACGAAGTGCTTGCACCACAGATTCCGTAAAAGGGTCTAAGGTCCACAAACACTCACCTCAGCCCTACCATAGTGGGCAAATATTAATAACAGGCACTTCTAAATGCCTGGACATGGCTCTCTCAAAACTTTAAATATGCTTTTTCAGAGCAGTGTTCCAGGGTTCCTCAATGGAATACGATAAGCGGTAGACCCCCTTTTCACGATAATCACTCAATAATAATGAGGTGTCCTTTTACACTAAGTGGGATTATGCTCCACAAACTACAGTATGTACCATTACCGCATTATATGTAAATATTTTTGTGATTGGGTGTATTTTGGAAACAATTCGGAAATGTGAATATGAAATAATCATGCACTATTTAAGCAAATTGTGCATTATTATACCATTATTTAACTACTTTTAAAAATTGTAATTGTTCATTTTTCTTTAGGCTGAGAATCAGAAGCTGACACATGAACTGCAGTCGGCTATCGACCAGACAACAGTACTTTGCGAAAAAGTCATACTGGTAATGCACTTTTACCTTTGATCAGTAAATTAAATTAAAAAAATATAACGTTGCAAGATACGGTTTGAATTACAAGTTGAAAATATACATAAAATGTTTATGCTGTTTTGTTATTAGCAGGATTATCCAAGGGGAGGTTTTAGCGGAATGGCACATTAGATTTACACTAGTATTATTAATGCATAATAGTGGTATACTTTTGTTAGCATGATATAACCTTAGGTTTCCTCTAATCATCCACACAGGCTGAGCTTGCCAAGGACAAACTGAAACAGAAACTTGAGGAGCTCCGAGTCCAAGCAGACATCAGTATTGATGCGCTGAATGTCACCATGGATACGGAGACTACTGATGTTAAACAACAGTTTGCGGGTCAATTAGACATGCTAAAGACCATGCAGAAGAAGATTTTGGAGGTGCAGTCTCTGGAACGCATGGAACAGACTGACTTGCTGTCAGCCCAGGAAAATGACTCCAATAGCAGTAATGAGGTGAGTTGAATATGAACCAGTCAGATTATCAATGCAATATCAGTTGGCCAATCAGAAGAAGAGATGGATAATTACTGACCAATCAGATTGCTGTATTTTTTTTAAATGACCAAAGTTATAAAATGTGAATGATATGTATATTGTAAAGGTTGTAATATAATTTTATATTTATTTTAATATGTTATTATATAAGTATATTTGGTCATGTGGAATCTGAAACTTCTGCTAGTTTTAACCAATTTTTTAAAAACTTTTTTCTAATTGAAGGAAAGCACACTCACAGATAAAATCGTAACTGAAACGGCTGATGATCAGACATTCTTCAAGCATCACACCCTACGGCAGGCAGAGCTTGGCCGTGAACTTCAGGAACTCAACAAAGCTCTGTCACTGAAACAGGAACTTGTTGCCAAGATGGGACAGAGCGATGAGAAGATGGCTGTCATGAAAATGCAGTATGAAGTAAGTCATGTCACTTTAGTCACGTTGGGTAATCCTGGGGGTGAGTGGGTGGTGGCGGGGTAATGTGATGTTGTGGATGTGTCTAAATTATAATGGGGCTTGTTTTGTATAATCACATGACCTTGTGAGACTTGTCTGTATTAAGCTAATAATGATAATTTCTTGAGAGAAACATATTGTCCCTATCAGGATGTGAACCCAAGACCTTCTGATACCGTTCCAGATACTTTATCAACTAAACCATTAAGGCCAAGCAAAATACCTCCTAGGATTTTCCCATTAGGTCATTTTTTCAGCTAAACTAACCAGTGTTTGAAATTCATCATCATCTTCCTTTACTGTGCAGAACCTCTTTTCAGCATAGTCGCACATGTGGGTTGGTCACAATTGCTGCAGCTGAGCTTCCTAAATTCCTTAATCTTATATTACTTATTTTCAAATCTTTTGGTAATTATTGAAGTGTATTTTTAATTATTTTTAGTTATCACATTTTTTAAAATATTTTATATTTTAAACTGTAATTCTAATATTTTCAAGCAAGGAAAACTTCTGACATTCGGTTCATGAATTCCCAGAGTGATGTTGATTCCACAGCATCTTTGGGTAGTGAGTCTGGAAAGAACATACCTTTTAAACATGTCGGTTCTTAATTCAGGAACCTTGAACCTCTGGCTGTGGGCTCTGGTGACTTTGTATATATGTAAGTTATTTTTTTTTTTACTAAATTAGAATAGGTGATGGGCTGGGAGTAACAGTTTTCAAAATTTTAAATCCTGAAATTGCAATTTTGAAAACTTACTCCCATCCCATCACCTATTCTAATTTAGTAAATCCAACGTTCGCTCCCTGTGAGCTGTAGACGACACAACGCTGTCTGCTGATTGTCGGTTTCAGTCTAAATGGATCGTCATTAAAACGATCCGTTGCACATCATGGTGTTGCATTCTCCATAGAATTGCATTAGGTGAGTGGCTATTAGGTTATAATGTTTTTGTACAAACGATTCTCATTTTTTTATATTTTTCAGCAAAATGCTAAGCAACTTGAGAACGAGGTAAATCAGTTGGTGAAGGAGAAGGAACAACTTAATACTGCCCTCAATGCTGCCAAAACCAACACCACCAGTAACAAGTAAGACAGAGTTATGAACAAAATATTATAAACTCTCTATTCCTTTTATGTCATGTTAATGAGCATTTATGTAATGCCTTTTTTGGTTAGTAAATGTTTTGATAGGCTACTTCCATTAAGAGCAATTTACAACTCTATTTAGAGAAGGAATATATAGGTATATTTATATATGTAAATTAATAGACAAACGTAAATTATGTGATTACATTACAACTGCTGGGAAAGTTTTTCCATGTATTTGAGAGCCTTTCGTCTTCTCACAACAAACTTGGTCACAAAAGCCCTTTTTAAATATACAAGTAAAATATATATGTACCATTTCAGAATCCTGAAATATTGCTCAATTTTGGTTCATCTATTTGTTTAATAGAGTCAGTGAACAGCGACGAAAGAGGCTGCAGGAATTGGAGGGACAGATTACAGGCCTAAAGAAGAAGATATTGGAACAAAACAAACTGCTTAAGTTTAAAGAGCAGAGTGTGAAAGCAGTTGAAAAGCTCAACAAAGAAATTCATGTAAATATCACCAGTACCTATCAATATCAAATACAACTTAAGTAGTATCAGCAATTTAACACACATAATAAATTTAGTTCGTACTGTAGTTACCCTAGTATAAGCTTAAGCCTGAGGAATTTCCTTTTCAATTAAATGGCAATTTTTCAGCATTATATGCCTAATTCAAAGCCAATATTAGATATTTTTTCTGAAAATACAGGTCTCTCTCTAATTTATGACCACTTTTGGGACCGTTTCCATGGTCTTTAGTAGCTTCTGTGATCTCTGATTAGAATAATAAAGATAAATGTCCTTCATTAATTTGGGTCTACTGTACAGAAAAGTGGTCTTTAATTGGAGGTGGTCTTTATTTAGAGGGAGACCTTTATTTGTAAAATTCATACCGTGGGCTTTTGCCTGAGGAAAGGCTGGTGTGTAGAATTTGGTGTAAAGTCGGGCTTGTGCCTAAACATAAAAATTATTTTGATAAAGTGCCTCCAACACAAAATGTTATCTGTACACAATACATCCAAACAGTTTATTTAAAAAAATTGTTTTCCCCAGAAATGCCTCTGGAACATTCATGATACCTTCGACCGCCGTTGTTGCAGTCGCGCATTTTTTCCAGCTTTGCTTATACCTTAGGAAGTACTGTATTATTTTTGCTGTAGCTGTTTTATCATTTTACTTAAGTTCTTTCTTAAAATGTGTAGCATTATTTTTCTTTAATTTTCATTAGTCAATGAAACAGGCCAGAGTTAAGTTGATGCGGCAGATGAAGGACGACAGCGAGAAGGTTCGTGTCTGGAAGGCTGCCAAGAATAAGGAGGTGTTGCAACTGAAAGCGCAGGTGATTAAAAATAAGCCAAATAACAGAGTTACCAACCTGAGAGATTTGAAATGCGTGACTACACCAGTAGAGTGAGAATGGGGGGTGGGGGGCGCCAGTGCCCCTGGGGTCAGTGGCAGAACCCTGGAGGCCCGGCTTCCAGTCACATAATCAACAACAGTTGGTTGTGATAATGGAACGCACAAGACTGCACGTGACTACTAGATTCTACTAACATGGTTGGCTGGGTTGACCGTTTTTATATTTTAATAACACCAATTTCTTCTTTCTTCCTGATGATGACATAATTAATGTCGAAATATTGAATCCCAACACGACGGCGTGTATTTCAATACTTGGAGTATGTATTATACTTTCTTAAATACATATTCGTGATAATTCGTTATCATGCATAGACATCATGCATAGAATTTCTTATCACGCATGTGTTTCTGCAAAATGCATTGTTTCATCCAAAATCACTTTAAAATTGGGGACTGTCCCGCATGATGCGAGACGGTTGGTAACTGAAATAAAGTTTTGTTATGATTATCAATTTCATTTTTGCCTTTTAGTTATGCTAGTACAGTAGAACCCCTCCTTTGGGACACTCCTATTAAGTGGACACCACTATTAAGGGGACACATTTGTAGCCATGAAATAAAGGGAAGTATATCATTTAACACTATGACCAACCCCTATTCAGGGGACATATCTATTATGTGGACACTTTTTTTGGTACCGAGGGTGTCCCCTTAATTAGAGTTCTATTGTACTATTATTAAAAAAGAAAAATGACTGCTGGCTCTGTTTTATCTGACAAATTACCTGAAAATATGTTTGAAATTTTTCTGTTGTAAAGTATTTGTTTATATTTTCTAGGACCGAAAACGGCAATGTGAGTACGCAAAGCTAGAACGTGTACATACAAAACAGCAACACGTCCTCCGAAGGAAAATGGAAGAGGTATGTCAGTTTTTTTTTAATGCAAATATTTAAAAAAACTTTTTTGATATTTTGAGGTATGTATTACAAGCACTGATCTCTACTATAATAGCTAGATTGCTCAACAGCCAATCATTTTACAGATAAAAGTGAAGCCACTGACGCCATATTGGGAAACCCAAGTGACGTACAAGTTTAGACAAGTTAATTTTGGTATTTGTTTAAATTATTGTTAATAATAAAGATTCTTGCAATACTTTTTAATAATGACGTCAATCACTAACAACACAACTTTGCCTTGCACTTTTTTAAACTGCACAAATAGGCGCATTGAGTGATAAGAGGATGTGAAAAAAACAATTTCTTAAAATTAAAATTTTTTATTAATATGTATTGCAAGAATCGTTATTTTTAACACTAAGTTAAAATAATGTCAACATAAACTTCAATAGACTGTTACGTTACTTTGGTATTTGCAAATGGCACCGGTGGTTTCACTAAAACTAGCCAATGAGAAAAGAAAGAGTCTTAGTTGGTTATTGTATTTCATAATGATTTCTAATCTTTTTCATTTACTACCAATTTTGTTGTCCAGGCGGCTGCAGCTAACAAGCGCCTCAAGGAAGCAATGCAGAAGCAGAAAGCTGCAGCTGAATCTAGAGGGCGCTTTGATGAACGCAACCAGCTGGGTGTTGGAAAACGAATAAGGGTAAGAATGAGTCTTACAATAGGAGTGAAGTAATGATAATATGTAGGCTTTCACAGAGCGCGCTATCTAAGAGCGTCTTTCTACATTATTAGCCCTGTCATTGGAACGATGCCTATGGGGAAATTCAGTATTTTGTTGCATGAAATATATCAGTGCATTTCTGCACTCAAACCACCGCAGGTACCCATTTACACTCCTGGCTTGAGAGAAGCAATGCAGATAAAGTACCTTGCTCAAGGACACAAGCAAATTGCACAGTGACGGATTGAAAAACTATGAAAACTTTATTATAAGCATAGACAATGAAAAAAATACAAAAAATTAATTTTAGGGTAATAGTAATATAAATAATAATGATAATGCAAATTATAAAAATATTACATAATGATAATACTGGTCTCTCTTCAGTAGGGAAGCATGTTTTGTGAGACCAATACAGCAACAGAAAAAGATATTGATCCATGATAAAAAGAATCTTTTGAGTGATTGGTTAATTAATATTAAGTTATTTTACACTATTCTTATTACAATTTTTGCATTTAAATGCAATGAGTACTCATTCTTTAAAAATCATTTTCAGAGCTTCTTAGAACATGAGCTTGAAGTACAGGTGAGTATCAACGAAGCGAAGCGCCATCTAGCGTCACTCATTACGGACAGAAAGTCTATCACCAAGCAGCTTGCTGATCTGAAATCAAAAGGAGTACCGCCTCATAAGGTAGCCAACGTGTGTTTGTTTCATTAATAGAATCTACATTATGTTGATCCATGCAACAATATGTGATGTGTTCCCACAAAAACATGGTCTAAGTAGCAAAATATTAAAACATGATTTATTTATTTGTTTATTAGATTCTATTAATTAATATTAAGCAAGAGAAAATTATTAAATAAAAAAACGGCTACCCTCAGTGTCATGCGTATGTTGCACATTTCATGAATGGCTGGACACACACACACTGCCAACAGTTACAAAATGCCTTTTGCTACCAACCTAAACACAAAAAATGGTAAATGGATGTAAGGCACATGCTACTAGGTCTCGATGCTCTTTCAACAAATGTCCAAAAGAATTTAAATAAAAGAAACAAATAATATGAATAAGAGACATAAGAAAAGGAACAACAAAAACAATCAACAAAAAAGAAAAACAATTAAATGGATGAGAAAATGTGAGTTTTGAGTTTGGATTTTTTGTATCAGTGGTTCTGACTGATTCTGTCTTTCTTCTTTGTATGTAGTAATTATTGAATCAAATTAATTTTCAGAAATCTAAAGGGTCTGATGGAGGTAATGTTGAAAACATGCACCCTAATGAGAAAGCCCTGCAAGATGATTTGCAGGTGAGAAACGCTCAGATCTCGGACTTGCAACAGAAGATTGTTGATGCCGATCAAGGTAAGTACCTTATCTAGAAAGCAGCTTAGCTCAGTTAGCTAAAATGTAAAAGCCATAACTAAAAACAACTCTATACCTTATGTGTTTATTCAGCATTACAGAGTTTTTTTTAAATTCCTGTATATCTAGTAAGTTGTTGGATGTGAATTTATATTAAAAACTTGCTTTTTAACATTTGTCAAAGCAGTGCATTATAATGAAGTGCTGTATGAAAAAAAATTTGATATACTGTTGTCATTTGTTTCAGATGATAAAGAAAAGAGCCGCTGGAAAAATATAACCAGCATAGTAGAGGCAAAGTGTGCCCTCAAGTGGCTGATGGAAACTGTAAGTTACATCCTTAGTTACAATGATAAAAAAAAAATATTTAAAACAATTCATATTTTTGTTCATTCTGGTCAAGACTGTTGGTAAAGCAAGAATACGGAAATCAAGTCTTGTTAGTGCTTATCAACAAGCCTTCGTCTTATTTATTGTACACCAAAAACATATACTTATTCTTTAGTGTAATAAGTACATATAAAAGAAGATTAAAGCGGGCATTTGATAAGGGTGCATATCTTTTGCCAGACTATTTTATCATACTCATCAGTGTTCTCCCCAGGATGAGGGTCAAGCATCATGAACTTTGGCTGATAAACCAACATCGTAAGATAGCATTGTTTTGTGTTTAAAAATATTTTCACACTCACTCTTCTTTAAATTAGGATACATGGACAGCATTGTTTATTTTGAATTATTTTATTGACGATATTTTAAAGCGTCACGGAAGATGCATTAAGCTTCACAGCCAGCTTGGGAGCGTCACGGTGAAGTCCTACGGTGAAGTCAGTACGGTGACGCTTCAAGGGCCCGGAGAGAACACTGCTCATTATTACTAAGAAATATTTAGCTGATTTAAATAAAAATGAATTTATTATTATTATTATTTTATTATGATTATTATTATATTTTTTATTATTTATAATTATTTTTTATTATTGTATTCCATCAGGCTGTTGTTTCTAAGGTGGAGAATAGCGTTCGTGTTGGTGAGGTACGTGATCTTCAAACATCATTGGATGAAGCTACCAAAGCCATCTGTGAAGCCAAGTCAGAGATGGAGGAGGTGAAGAAGACTCACCAACAGGGGCTCACTAAAATACAGCAGAGCCATGAAGAAAAGGTAATTTGATTGGCCTATGACTCAAATAAAAGAATCATTGATTAGTCGATCTGCTTTGTGAAATTGAAATATATGAATATTTATAAGAATATAATTATAATAATGATGATGACATATTACGATGATATTATGATGTGGTACTTCTTACTTGGTATTTGTCATTCCATGTCAGGAATATCTGTGATTGACTGATAAACAGTTGACCTTAAAAACCACTGCTAATGGTGATGGTATGATGATGATATGATGATATGATGATGATATGGTGATGATATGGTGATGATATGATAATGATGGTGTCAGTGATGATATCATAATGATATAGTGATGATATGATGATGGTATGATAATGACAAATAATTAAACTAAATTTACATGAAGAATTTACATGCAAACCAAAAAATTGATTATTTTTGCCATTAATGGTGGAAGTTACAAGTCATGATATTTAACCTACCAATCAAATGACAATAATTTCTTTACGTGTCTTGTAAAAAGGTGATAACTCATTTGATTCTCCTCAGTGTTTTAATTGAATGTTTGAAGGCTTTTTCAGATTTTGTGACAGATCATAAATTCATCAATTTTCCCCCTCAGATACTGTACCTCCTGACACAGCTGCCACAGGCTGGAGACCTCAACTCAACAACTGGTGCCACCCTCAATGAAGCTAATCAGGAACTACTAGATCGGCTGCATTTCCAGGTGTGTAGTACTATTCCTTGTGGAGTTGTGGTTATGGTGCCTTCCTTTCAATTTCAGGATTCTAGGTTCAATTCCTATCAAGTAACACTTTTTTTCCCGAAGAAAATCAATTACACACTCTGAGGCTAAATTCCAATAGAATTTTTATGTACTTTATGTTTTTTTTTTTATATCAATCAAATTATTGTTCACTCTATAAATATGTGATTCTAAATTAAGATTGAAAGAAAAAATATCTATTTTTCCTCCTTGCTACAGGAAAAACAAATTAGCGATCTGCATGGTCTTCACGAAAAGCTACAAACTATCACCAATGAAAACGATAACTTGAAAAAGGTAAAGATATGCCTAACTATGGTTATGATGACATCACATCATAACCCTATATAGGCACATCATGACTATATATGGGCATACAAAGAGTTTTTTTGTCGAAGAAAATTTGATAGACTAGACAGAGCTTAATTTATTGTGTCACCTTTACCAACAGCAACTGACACTTGCTAACTACCATGGTAGAAGAATAAACCTGATGCCTGCTATGACCTCGCCTGATGCCACACCATCGCCAGCTCCAAGGCCAGTCAAAAAGCCTAATAAGGTATAAAGTGCGACATAATTTTTAACAAATATGATTTTAAATAGGTAAGCAGGCTATTCATTGAGTGGAATCATCCGAGGCCGACTGCTTCAGTTGTATAATTTATGCAGACTTATGCACACACACACACTCTCCCCCCAGAAAATCACGCTCAAGTAGTTAAAAATCACCAAAAATTACCATATTTTGCGATTTATAGCCCCTTATTTAATCATTGAGTGTAGCTCTCATCGGCGACAGAAACGAGACATGCTTCGGCAACTCGCCACTAAGTCGGCACCCATCGCAGAGGACGTGTGTGTAAGCACCAATCATGTGACACACACACAGACTGGACCGGTGATCAGAACACAATCAGGTCATCTCTGAGCATGGATGACCTGATTGACCACTTTGCCCACCTGTACATTAAGGGGATAAATTAAATGTTTGTCCCTAACCCAGGATGCATAGTTCTGTCTGTTACAGTGGGATTATGAATGTGGGTTTAAGTTCCTACCCTTGCTACATAGCTCTGTTTTAAAATGGGGTACAGTATTTAATAGGATCATAGTAGAATAATGTTTTTGTAGGGTAGTGGATCCCACTGAATTAATTTCCCTATCTAAGTTTCCATTTTTATTATAGAAATGTATGCTAATTAGCATTAATTTTTGTTAAATATTGCCTGTTATTGTATGTTTTAATAAAATTAATATCAAGAACTACAACTCAACAAAATGTTTGTTAATTTCCTTTATTTAGAAAAAATCAACAGCTCGCAAAGAAGAAGAAGAACATTACACCTTTGATGAGCTACAAACACTTTTTAGCTCAGAAGAGGAAAGCTCATTCATGGATTCTGATTCAGACTGGCACGAAACCCCCATAGTTAGACGTTCAAGACAAGTGACTAAGAAGAAGGTATCCCTACCAAAGGTGAGTTATATAAATATAGCCTTTTTTTTTTAAATAAACAAGGAATTTCTGAATACCCAGTTCAACTTGCCTAAATCGAATCCAAACTGACATTGAAAAATTATTCAACTTACGGATTGTTAATTAATGGAAAACACAACAATTTGGCATGTAAAATAAGATTGACTTAGAAATTGTTAGATCGAATTATTCGAGTTAGGTTTAACTGTTATTATAATAGACTGCTGGATTGAGCTGCTGGGATAGTGTGTAAGCTGGCCAGTAACATGGAGGCCAAGGATGCATGTATTGAATTTGGGTCCTCTTGCCAGTGGCGTAACGCCTATGCGCTCTTGTGGGACGGTCTGCAGGGATTCTGACCCATAGGAGCCCCTACCCATAGGGTGCTTGATCTAACACCCTGATCCAGAAGAGCTTTGTTGATACATAACAGCAGAATGTGTCTGATATGGACTGTAGGACATTTATCATATTATATCCAGTAGTAGATTAAAGGTGGGTGGGAGCAGCCCCAACCATGGCTTGGGGCTTAGTTATTATAGATCTTTTATCAGTAAAATCCCTCCCTGGGCCCCTCTATTTAAAATTCTTAGCCACTGATTTCATATCATTTTAGTCATAAAAACATTTACAATATATTGAAAAACATGATTAACAACAAGCACATCTAATCAACTTATACTATAGTCTCAACTTTACATGACTATGCCAAAGGTCAATATCCACATTCCATTTCTTGATTTCATGTGTAGGATGGTGGGTGTGGATGTAAAGGTTTGTGTAAAACCAAACAGTGCCGTTGTGTTAAAAATGGGAATGGCTGTTCCGACAATTGTTTGTGTGTCCCCGCAAAATGTGTCAATCGTCAAAGTTCAAAAGATGTAAGTATTACAGTATTTGTTTTAGATAAATATTTTTGCACACATGGCTACATTAAGTGTAACCTACCACCAGGTTCACACCACATCAGCTGATGGAATGTTTTAAGATAAAGGTCGGCGTGCTTGTGCTGTGTTAGGAAAGACCTGACAAAGAGCTCAGACAAAAAATTTGTCGGTCAAACCAGTCCTGCTCTCTACAATAATATACATTAAATATTTTAACTTTACAGAATGAAAATTTGGTAACGTCAAAGTTAAATACAACCGTCGTCTTAGATTCAACAACTGAGTCTTTTGCCACACCTAACTTGCTCGAGTCATCTGGCAACAACACCGTGTCCGAAAATATAAACCAGAGCCGTAAGATTCTCTCGAATTTGGACAGCAACACAACATTCAGCTCGTCCGATAACGAGAATGATGTTCGTAAACGCCCTCTGAAAGAAAGTGATGACTCCATGGAAAGAGAAAATTCCGACCCAGAGGTCTCCGGTGTGAAAAAGAAACGCAAGTTGTTAAACAATCAAGGGAAAGCTTTCTTTAAGCCGTTGGTAAATTTCTGACTGGCTGGTTCTAAGTATCCCATAACTCTCTCAAATAGATACTTGTTTTTACATCAAAACTAGTGTTTTTTCCCGAATGTATTCAAATTTTGTAACCAGCTAATTCATTTGATTAAAACCTAAGATGAAAAATATTTTCTTTAAATAGGAGTTAAAGGGATACTATAAAAGTTGTATTCCATATCCAGTACTATAAATAATTTGAATTGTCTAATGTTGTTTAATCGTAGATGGAGAAGAATGTATGTCAGGGTAAAATGTAGTACTAAGAATTCCAGGCACCTTATTGTCCTTCGTGGTATAATAATGCTTTGATGGCAAGTTAAATGGCTGAGCGGTTAGTAGGGGAACCCCAACCTACAGCCATAATATCAGCTCTGGTTTGAGCGGCACGCTTTGCCTATGGTTCCTCAGATAAGGACTATAAACCGTAGGCCCAGTGTACACAATGGCTCGTGTGCACTATAAAGAACCCAGTACATTATCCGAGACGAGGTAGAGGATACACCCTGGTGTACTGGTACTGACAGCCCCTGTGGTGGACGACGAGAGTTGCTGGTACCGGGTCACCAGGTACCATTGGGGGAAGAAAGTCGTTGATCAAGTTCCTAGTCTACATATCTAAGCGCATTGTATCTTGTAATTTGACATCAAGTAATTTAGCGTGAACTTTTTTTTTCGATAAACTAATGTCCTAACCGACAGTAAGGAATCAAATTAGCCAGTTAGCTTGCACGCACTTCACTTTATTTGCATAAATTTTTATAACGAAAAAAGGAATTCTCTTCTGTTCTGAACTTATGCAAATAAGTGAACATTTTTTGTCAATTTGTTTTGTCCACTGAGAGAGGACGCTACATACTGTAAGCCTAAATATGGCGTACAGTTCCCGAGCATGTGCTACTAACGTGCATCGCTGAAATTTTCACCGAATGTATCTACGATTTGACAGACCATGTATGTCCAAAATCGGGCAATCTGTGTTTTAGCCACAGGCTTGGTAAAATCTATCTATATAGCCTATATAAGTGGGAACAGCAGTATAATGAACCGTTCCGGAGCGTCAATCAAACTTAACAATTGACCAATCAGAACAGTACCATGAATATACGTTCGCCCATAAATGCACGTGTGTTTTACGGATCTTAGCAACAACATCCATATGGCGGGGCCTAGTGGAACAGTAAAGTTAGCCACTATTGACGAACATTGCGAAGTATAATCCACTAAGTTTAACATGCGTGGATTTTTTTTAGCCTGTATGAAAAAATAGTCCAGTAAAGTCGAAATGAATAAATATGCTAAAGGCTGCCCTGGTGGATGTTGTTGCTGCTAAGTTTTTGTAAAACGACAGCATAAACGTGCATTATTAAGGAGCTTTCAATTTACGCGACGACGCAACTCTACAAAACATTCACTCATCCATGACCGTCCTACGTTTTCTGCACAACATAGATTTCGCCAAATTCTGCTTAAAATCCACTCGACGACAACGTTTTTGCATGCGCAGATGAAAATTTAGTGACATTACTTTCAAGATTCTACCGCATCTTGCCATCGAAAGCTCCCCATTAAAAGGGTTTGTGAGAGATTCCTGGCCATGCTCCAATAAGCCAATTCATGGTTTGAACTGCGCATATCCAGTGGTATCCAAGGGCAATCAACATACACCTATGTGGTGTGTATGTTTGTTTATTGACCTTGATACGAGAATGTGCGATTCAAACTACAAGTTGGATTATTGGTCTGGAAAAGTCAATTTTGACATATTTGCAACAAACGGCGTGAACACATGCACATGTGAAGTCTTATGCAATTGCAGTTTACTGTATATAGAAGAACATCATATTTTTGAAATATTTGTATGATTTATCAGTAGGTATGCTTTTTGATCAGCATTAACATTTTTTAATTGGTTTACGTCTATCACATTTTTTTCTTATTTCTAATTTTTTTTTTAGTTTCTTTAACCTAAAACATAATTTAAGATAATACAGTATCATGGATTTATCTGAACATAATCAGATAATAATGAAGTATAAACGAAGAAATTATAAACTAATTGACTGCTCATATCCATAACTGAATTGAATTTTTATAATTAAATAATTTATGGGCAGTCCTTATGCCAGAAAAGCTGGGCTTTCTGCCTGGCGGTCCTTGGCCGACTCAATGATATGCAGAACGCAACACGACGAAGTGTGAGCAATTGATTATTATTAACGAGTCTCACTGACAGTCAGCAAACGACGTCGCATCGTCAAATACTCACTTGATTGCTGAGATGGATTTTGCGGTTCACTTTCGTACGACCGTTGTACGTTGCAGTGTGTATGCCTGTCTTAACATTTAATAAATACTGATAGGAAGGTTACAAATTCGCTGGCATTCCTTTAGACTGCTTGTACCAAAGCAGTGACAAACAGCGGCCTATGTTGTATTAGTAAGAGCGAACCACGTTTTGATATTGTACAAAGTAAATAAATTCTTCTGAAGTGAATACAGTATTCTGATTAATAGTATTTTATTTCTATAGATTCAAGTACTGTATTTCTATAACAACTACATATAGCAAAGCATAAGTATAATATTCAAATCAAATTGCTGCGTAGCACCACGAACACAATACAGTAAATAATAAGTGTTCAGTTAGCAACATGTTGTAATAATCGTATCAAGTATAGCTCACAGTAAGTTGGGGAAATTACTGCAACACGATTTAGACTTTATCTCTTCTCGAGTTACATTTCATAGGCCTATATATACACATATGAATAGAGTAACGATATCTATACAGTTCATAAATATCTCAATATTTAAAGGCAAACTTGCCATTAAAAAAAATCAAGAATATACAAAAACCCGTTTTATAGGCCTAAAGTACTGTTTGATTATTTAAGGATAGTTAATAGTTTTAAAATTATTGGAGCTGATTAGTTTACAGTAATTGTATTGAATACAGTAAGTATATATATATATATATATATATATATATATATATAATTATTATTATTATTATTATGCTGGTCCATGTTTACATTGGTCTGCTTTTTAGCAAAGGTTTGCCTAGGTTGATCTGGCCAAAACCTTTGCTAATAGGTACACTTTCTCCATCAAAAGTCTTCTTCTTCTATGAATGGAATGACCTGTTCGAAGCACGACCTCCTGTATACCAAACCCAGTACCGTTACGATTTTTAATCGTACGGGAAATCCACTCTCGAAATTTGAATTGAGGCCAAGGAAAGAGCTAATTTAGAGGTCGCAAACAACCCATCGTCTGTAGTTGAGCGAACTTACTTTAACACTCCAGCGTTTGCATACCTTGATACTAACAAGCATTATAAGAAGCTTTGTTATCGTTTTACATTCATGAATGATATGCTCTGCTTCAAACCTAATTGTAGTTGCTTGCATTAATTACTGCCTGTCTCTTATACACATCTTATATATATATAAAATTCTCAAATAGGAACATGTTTTAATAATCGTATCAAGCATAGCTCATGAACAAATAGTTGCTTTTTTTCAGTTGTATGAAAAAATGTCTCTCTTGCGGGATTCGAAAACCTGCAACATCTCGCTATCATGGCCAGTATCATACACATAGAGAACTATAGGCGAAGATCTAACCCCGATGACTTTCTAGAAAAGTATGTAGGTCGCAGCTGGGAAATCATAGTAAATAAAATTCATACAACTGAAATAAAGGAACTTTTGTTGATGAGCTATGCTTGATACTATTATTACATGTTCGTATTTGAGCACTGTTATTATTTATTTATTAGTTTGTATATATATATATATATATATATATATATATATATATATAT